CCCCTTTTCTGCCGCTGGCTTGGGCTGAGGCGTGGATGAACTTCCACCTCTGGCTTATTTAGCAGCAAAGCTGACTTAATGGTTTGCACCTATTTGTAACTCTCCGTCCCATAATTTAGCGCTGCCTCAGATGTGGTGCTTGCTTTCTTTGTTTCTATGCTAATCGCATCATTAACGTGGTACGGCGCAGCGCAGGAGCAAGCGGTGGGAAGGAGCCTCGAACGTGCTGTGCTCCCGGAGGGGCGTCGCTCCCTGAGTGTTCGCTGCTGCTCAGGAGGAACCCGCGCTCCCTGCAGTGCAAGGAGAAGCTGGCTCTGGAGAGGTGGCCGAGCGCAGAAGCTGGCTCTGGAGAGGTGGCCGAGTGCTGCCTCACCTGCGTTGCGCTCTTCTAGAAAGCTCCTGTCGAGCGCCCTGTAACGTTCACTGCCGGTGAATGGGTACAAGGGAGGAGCTGGGCTGCAGCCCTGCCTGAAGCGCGTACAGTGCTCCGCCGGGGGCCTGGGCAGTGACTCGCAGAGGCAGCTGCGTGGCCGTCCGGCTTTTCGGCCGGCGCTGTGGGAGGGGGCCTGTCCCCCTGGGTGCCTGGCAGCTCTGATGTAGCCGTGGAGCTTTTGAGGCATGGGGTATGGCAGAAACTCGCGACAGTGAGGTGTCCTTGTTGACTTCCTAAATGTGGCACCTGAGAAACAAAATTGGTGGCTCCGTTGCTGGCTCTTCATTTCCATCCTTTGTGACAGCAAGTGACGGACTTCAGCAGAGGACTTCCCTCATCTGTTTTGGGGCTTTAGTTCCTAACGGGCTGTGCTTTAAATTGCACCCGATCTAGTAAGGATTTAAGAGGGGGTGGGGGGAAAGCTCAGCACAATGACAGTGCGATCATCTCGTGAATCCCTGTGTTCATACAGGATCATCCTTCCTCTATGAAATGGATTAGGGTCTGGATTATTTTTAAATAGTCACCCCATTGACTCAGCCTCAACAAAAAGACCCGCAGTGTCCCTGGAGCCTGCTTCACTGGCTGCTAATGTGCGCCCTATGAATATGAAGTCCTGCCTGTTTTTACCACCTGTGGCGACTTTCTGAAATCCTTCTGATGGGCTTGTGCTCCCCTCTCTTGTCGATGCTTTTTCCAAGTTGCCAATGATGTTTTGAAAAGTGCCTGCGATTGCGGGGGGCGGTTGTGTCTGGGGAACTGCCAGCGCTGTCCCTTGGCTGTGCGGTATTTGCAGCACTGACGGACGCGTGCGCTCTTCTCCCTCTCTTTCTCAGGAACTCTTTGCAGAGTTTGGGACCTTGAAGAAGGCAGCTGTGCACTATGACAGATCTGGCCGCAGTCTAGGGACAGCGGACGTGCATTTTGAAAGGAAGGCAGATGCTCTGAAAGCGATGAAGCAGTACAACGGAGTCCCCTTGGACGGTGAGTCTCCCTGGCCGCCTCTGTAGTGTATTTCACTGGCTGGCCGCAGCAGCCTGCGTGCCCGTGTCCCGCACACGGACTCACGGGCTGCTCTTCCTCCAGGGCGCCCCATGAACATTCAGCTGGTCACGTCACAGATCGACACACAGAGGAGACCAGCACAGAGGTGAGATCCGTGCGGCCGCGGGAGTCGCTCTGCCCAGTCAGCACCGGGCGGGAACGTGCCTGGCGCCTCTCTGTAGGAAGCGTGGATCCGTCTCCCATTTGACAAACTTCTGCGTGCCTGCTTGGGCTAACGGGATACACTAAAATGGCTGCTTTTTAAAAATCACAGTGTAAACAGAGGTGGCATGACCAGAAACCGCGGTGGCTCAGGAGGATTTGGTGGTGGAGGAGGCAACAGGCGAGGTACTCGTGGCGGGAACAGAGGGAGAGGCAGAGGAGCTGGAAGAACTTCCAAACAGCAGCTCTCCGCAGAAGAACTAGATGCACAGCTGGATGCTTACAATGCCAGGGTAAGTGCTGCCCGGGCGCTCCCCACAGCATCTCGTTCTGGGAGCTGGCAGGAAAGAGAAAGTGTTTCCCCGGTTGTTGGGCTAGAGCAGTCTCCCTCTAAAGCCAAGCAGTGCCTTGGTCCGGCAGTTGGCTTCACTTCCCAGAACACTTTGTCAGCTACGGTTACTGGGAGCCGAGAAGCAGCCCCTGTTCCAGCTCACCGGGGCTGATGTGGGGCCGGCTTTTCCCTAGCTGGAACGTCTGTGGTGAGCAGTAGCTGCATAACAAAACCCACGGAGATAATGGGCTGCAGAGATGGAAAAACAAAAAGAAAAAAACCTCAGTGAAATAACAACATGGGGTGCTGACGGAGCAAAGGTGGCAACAGGGGTGCTGGCGTCGTTTGCTGCCTTCGGAGCTGGCTCAGGCGTCTCTGCCGCAGCCAGATTAAAATCTTGGTAGGGAAGTGACCGTGTGCGCGCAGTGACAGCGGAGTTGGTGGTTTGGGAATGGGACAGAAACGGGTGAGCGTGTGGAGGAAGTGGGATGCGCAGAATTCCAGAAGGAAGCAGCACGGGCGCGTCTGGTGGTTCGGAACAGCCGCCTCGGGCCTTGGGGACGCGTAAGCAGCGCGGGGGGAGCGCGGCAGGGCGGTTCGCAGCTGCGCCTGGGTGCACTCTG